GTACAAATAATTGCTGTTTAATTTTAAAATATCAAAGGCTATCTTTTCCATAAGGCAATAACCAGTTTCCTATTGAACCTGGCCATCTTATTCTAACATTTTGCTTTTTAAGTACCTATAAATACTCACTTCCTCAAAATGATCTTTGAGCAAGATTTATCATCTTACTGGGTAATAAATCTTTGACATATCTTCATCCTATATTTGCATGAGAGCCATGTTTTTAACTTTCTTAAAATTCTATTTCTTGCTATGTCTATAATCTAGTGTTTCTTCTTCTGAAATAGCATCTTTATGGTACTACATCCACACACCTAGTCATGTCTGCCTCATCCTACCTGCCAAACAGAGTACAAGTACACTCAGCATGAGTGATGCAACTAGCCAGCTATGTGCTGGGAATGCAAGGGTACTTGGAGACTTCCTTCTACCTGACCTGACATTTCCACCATTTGAGTTCTTGAAACTCATCATATATTCATAATATTGACTTCAAAAGGCTGCTCTTGACAGCTGAGATGGCCAGCCTACCACCCAACAAGGAAGTGGCTTTGAATCAGGTTCCTAGTGTTGCTGCCATGGGCTGGACTGATCAGCTGAGCTGGTTTACAGGAATGACCAACATTTCCTCATCCAAGATTGCAAACGACACAGTTTTTTGAGGTGACTGAAATGCTATGGGGAGTAAGCTCATGTCCTGCCTGGGACATTTTCTCTATGGGTGAAACTAACTGATTTTCAAGAGATCAAACCTATGAGACTTAGATTTTATTAGCACCTCACTCTAACTCACAAAATTAACCACAAAGAAGAAATACAAGGAAGCAAAGAGTTTGATGGATTTGGAGAAGAAAGCCTTCATTTTATATACTTAACAGATCACTGACAACTTTTCACACTTTATTGAGAGAACCATCTGAGCCATTAGCAGGTCATTTGACCCACTCTCTTTCAAACCTCTCTAAACTCAGAAAACAACTCTAAGAGCTCTGAGAATAGAAGGTGATCTGGGATTTTAGCCTGACCCCTATGCCAAGCAGATTTGCTAGCTGCAGGCACTTCCCAGCAATTAGTGTCTTGCCAGGGAGCTTCAGGGTGCAGCTCTACACAATTGGAAGAACTTTCGTCTGCCTGAGTTGCCCCTGCTGCTCAATTTCTGTACTATGTACTCAGCATCTACTATGTTTGCCAGGAATTGTGCTGCATACTTTGCGGGACCTGGGGTGTGGAGAGTCTGTTCTCAAGGGTCTTGCTGTCCAGCGGGAGCTGTAAGACATAGATCTAAATACTAATAGCGATCATTTAGGGGAGAAAGTGATGACTAATTCACAAATATTAAGATCCCACGATGTGCCAGTTAATGCACACGGGGTATACTGTGGAAAGCAAGCTATTATAGAATGGCCCTGTCCTTAGACTAGGTTCAATAAGCATTTGTTGAAGGAGGGAAAGCAACGATTGTTCAGCACCTACTCTGAGCAAGGCTGTGTGCCAGGTGTTTTCAATTTAATTTCCTCCTCACAATACTTACTTTAGTAGGTAATGTTATTCCCATTTTTTAAATTATTTTTTCAGTTACAGTTGACGTTTGATATTATTTTATATTATTTTCAGGTGTCATGCATAGTGGTTAGACATTTATATTATATATGCAGTGATTAGTCTAGTGCCCACCTGGCACTATATATAGTTGTTGTAACATTACTGACTAGATTCTCTGTACTGTACTTCACAAATAAGGCAAGAGGGGCTCACAGATGTTAGATGACTTTCCCAAGGTTGCTCAGACAGTGACTAGGAAAAAGATAGGATTCAAACGCAGAACCATCTGACTTAAAAGATCCAGCTCTTTCAATCTCACTACATTTATTATTAGCATTTTAGGGCATACCTGCCTTCTGTGCTGTTGTGACTCATTTCCAAATTGAGAGGCCCCATAGGACATTGCAGCTTGTTGGCAAGCACTAAGGCGTCTACTGCTAGTCCAAGATAAAGACTCACAAAGCCATTTGTACAACCCACAATTTGTGACTAATGCTTGGATCTGTCTCTAGCTGTCCCCAGATATTCTCTATCATCAACTATGTGACCCACTTATCTTCCTTCCAAAAAAAATGGAAAAATAAAAGGGCAGAGAAGAGAATAAAAGTAATTTCCTGAGATAGGGGCATAAGCTCTGCCCCTTTCCTTTCAGATTCCTCCAGCAGGGCTGGGCAAACACACAGAGTAGACAGCCACTACCCCAGCGAAGCAGAAAGCAGACATGGCTTCCACTTTCATCCTCTCTCCTCAGCCATTTTGCCTTAACCCAAGGAAGTTGTCTTTGGGAAAAAGAATAATTTGGGACTTCCATTGCTTAACAAGCCTTCAGAATAAATTTTAAACTAGTGAGTCAGGGCAGCCCGACCCTGTATGCCCACCTCTTCTGCCCCATCTTCCTGATGCAAATCAGTAGCTCCTGAGCCGCCCCTCCTCCCAATCCCTAGCACACCCAAGATAGCTCCTGAGCCACCTTGTCTTGCCCTCCGGGCATCTTAGGTAGTTTGTGAATCACCCCTTGTCAGGTTCCCAGCACAACCCAGGTAGCTTTTGACCCACCATTGCCCCACCCCCAGTGTACCCAAGTAGCTCCCGTGAACCACTCTTGTCCCTTCCATCAGCGTACCTTGGGTAAGTTTTGACCAGCCTTGGGATTCAGCTCAAACATACACCGGGAAAGCCTTCTCTGGCCACGCTCCAGTAGGGCATGTGCGCCCACGCAGTAGTGCCCCGCGGCATGTTCCCACACCCCACCGGCACGCACACGCACGTACGCACATTCACGCACGCCCAGTAATACCTTTCATGCGAGCTCCCACATCCCTTCATGCCGCCCTGGCATAGCATTTACCAGGTTGCATCTGCTCAGGCCTTGCTAATAAACCCCTCTCCACACTCCACAACAGGAGGAAGTGTGGCTGGTCTTTCTACTCCCAATACTGAGCAATCCAGGGACCTAGTAAACCTGGAGGAAGGGAAGGAGGAAAGGAAGGATGAAGGGAAGAGAAGGCTGTGCGCAGACTGTCAGCCCACAGCCCACAGCCCACCCTTCCTGGGTTGGTCCCAGGCTCAGGCCTGGTGCAGTTCCCTGCAGTCAAAACTGTGAAGGGAGAATGAGGTGAGGCCTTGAGGACAAGCAGGCTGGAGGGAATGGTTGTTCTCTGAGAAAACCCGAGCAGTACTTTCAGGGCTCCAGTAAAAAAGGTCAGAACCATTGCTTAGGAATATGTGCAGTGCCCAGTGGAGCCCTGAGGGTGAACCAGTTTCTAGTGCTGCTCTACAGATGGCCATGGCTCCATCCAAGAGGGTCTCCGGAACAGCTGCCCCTAGCCTGCATACACTGGGCTCACTAGAGGCAGGAAATTCCATGTGTAATGGCTGGATTTATTCCCCTCATTCCTTATCCATTACGAAATAGTGAATTCGTCACTTAAGAACCCATTTGGGCAGATTTCGGAACATCTGACTGACTCAAGCAAAAGCATGCAGGAAGAGGAAAACAAAACAGGACATGGAGCTCTGGGCCTTGCGGTCTCACCTTCATTTTCGTTGCTAGCCTGACGTTGAAAGGAAGTAAAAATGTTTAAATGCCCCTCTTCTATAAATAAATAAATAAAGCAAGCCCCTCTCTGTCAGCGTTGTCACCAGGGCTGGATTGGAGCCTGGTTTACCACTTAGAAATACACTTTTAAAAGCTCATCTGCACGGCTGCAGCCATGTTATCAAGCTGAACAAATGTTGATCTGAAGAGACAGAAAAATTATTCTCAGTCTGAGGAGGCACTGCTGTTAAACAAGTTCTTTTCAAAGAATGAGCCACTAAGAAGTACTTTGCATACATGTAAGCCATGAACCTCAAAACATATAAAAGTAAAATCAGTACCAAATAGCAACTCGGAGCAGCAGACTAGAGAATTTGGCTGGCATGTGTTGGAGATATGGTTATAAAAGGTTGCTTTTCAGTTTGTCTTTCATTTCCTGCACAGATAATGGTAGGAGGAGTCAAAAAATCAGCATTACATTGTATTTGCACATTTTTTAATCAACTAGGAAAAATCACATTCTCCTTCAGATTTTACTTCCTTTCTCTAAAAAGAGAGTAAATTTTTTTTTTAAATTTAAATTTGCTCTTTCCACTCACCAAGAGAATTGTGTTATTCTTGCATTCAATCTGTTCCATCTCAGTTTAGTTTCAAGTTGAGACTTTATTTCATTTCCAGACAGGTACAGAGTAGTTAGTGTCCCTCTATTACTTCTCACTTTCAACAATTGCTTGGCAAAACAGTAAGCCAGGTAAATCAAACTCTCCACTTTGCTCACTATATACACCATTTAGGTATGTGACACCAAACCTATACAACATATTCTCCTGCAACTGAGGTTCAAAACTGTAATGAGTTGAGCTAAAGCACAGGAATAGTCAATTAAAAAAAAAACTTTCAAAAATAAATATTAAGCATCTTGTTTCATTATTTGCTTTGCTTATACATTATAAAATATGCAGGTGGATTAATATCCTTTGTTTTGGGGGTTTTATTATCATTTCAGAGACAGATTAAAAACAGATTTCTAACACGGAAGTTGCTTACCCAATTCTGTATCATAAAAGGTGGCTCACACCAAACAAAAGAAGAAAATAACCAAGAAAGGGTCCAGCATTCTTTTCCCTCAGGAGCTTGATATTCTAGGGCCTAATAAGAATCAATGAGCAGCCTACAGAGTGCCTTAGTGGCACCAACAATATTCATCTAATTTGAGAAATTCGGACTTGGCTCAGCCCATCCACTCTCAGTTCAGCTCAGGATGGTCTTTCATTTGGAAATCATGCTGTCAACTTGGTTTAGAATATACATGGATGAGGCATATGCTTATCCTTGCTGCCCAGGGAAATGTTGGCATGGAGAAACATGAAGGCTGCTAACTGAAGCTTGCATTTATGGACTCTCTTCTCTTCTCCCCTAGTTACTGTGACAGTGGGAGGCAAACAACACTTGCTCGGACTGTATGACACCGCAGGACAGGTATATTTTTATTATCTTGATTCATGTTTATTATCTTCATTCATTCAATAGATATGACCTCTTCTGATCATTTGGGGGGGGGGGATTTATTGTCTACCTAAATGACAACCAAAAGCACATTCTTAAGATCTTAAAGATATTTATAATTACAAAAAAACTAAATCATTACATGCATGATTCAAGGTGTTGATTGGCAAATCATGATTCATTCATTCATTGGTGACTAACAATAACCAAAATAATACATTTGGTCAAGATTTTCAATTTCTTCCTACCTTACCAATTCCAGATCTAGGATTACTGTGTCAGTTTCATAAATGTGAGTTTTATCCATTTTTGTGTTGTTATAGTCTTTGCCCAACCTTTATTTGAATTGCCTAATGAGCTATGGAAAGGTCCAGAAAGAAAGGGGGGATGGAGGAGTGGGGCAGGCGGGTAGGAAGAAAATTGAGTGAGTGTTGGAAGGAATAAAAACCAGAACTAGATGTTTTCCAAAATAAATGTCAACCTCTGAATAACTAGGGGTTGGCTCTAAATTCTCTAAGATTCTTGAAATATTCTCATTCAGTCAGATATGTTTCTTCAAGTTGGAAAACCTGGCCAACCAATAATGTGAGGCAATGACTAGAACTCTCAACACTTAATCAGTTAGCACACGCTCTACTTGAGTGAAAACGTCACCTTATCTTCCTTTCTTCACACCATTATGAAAAGTTTCTAATGTTATAAGTTCATGGTTGGAGGGGAAGTAGTTAAGCATTTGACAGCTGTGGCCCAATTTCTTTGATAGCACTTTTGTTACCATATGTCTTGGGTCATTTATTTAGGTCAAAATCAGCAGGTTGTTTAGTCTGTCCAAATTCATACATCTTAAGTTCTTTGGAGTGAACGTGTGACCATGCTCTTTCCCACTGCGAGCTTCCTGGTAATTGCTGTTTGTAGTTACACATTCGTTTAGGCCTTTATTCACAATTATCTGGAGAGAGGTCTTTTTGCTCAACTTGAAAGCTCTATACTAGAAAAAATAATAGTAAATAGAATTTTCTTTAGGATTTCTGTGCGCATTTGCAAGGAAGGACCCCTGTATACATGTCTGAGGGACATCAACGGCTGGTGTTGGGCAGGCCTGGGAAGTGGGGAACCTGGAAAATCTAGCACCAGCCTCAAGGCTCCTAAGATCATCCCGTTGCCCCTCATTGGCAGATGGCTGTTTGGGCCAGCGACTCTCTGGAACTGGAGAACTCACATTAATACCAAGACACATGACTAGGAGAGGATTCCCCCCAAATAGGAAAATCCGTTTGGCTCCTCTGAGCTAAGCACCAGGGCCTCCGTGTAGCTCATCCTTGGCTGTTTCGCTACCAGTAAGCATTCCAGCCATCAGGGTACACTGCTCTTTGGGCTGGAGTTGCCTAATTCAATCATATAATCATTGGGGTGTCCCATTCATCAGGAACTCACAGCCTTAAAGAGAGAAGCATTTATATCCTTCTGCTCTGTAGTCAGATTTTAGAAATATAATCCAGTTTGAAAAGTTCAATACAGCAAGAATTCTTGCCTGACTCTGAAACCTCCCTCTGTGTCCCTTGCCTTCTAAAAACCTCTCTGTGCCCCTCATGCCCATCTGGTTCTCCCCTGCTCTGTAGCGATCCCTGACAATTGTTAGATTCTGGGCATTAATTACCCCCAGCACCACCTCCCAGGGCTTTCCTTAATTTCAAATTCAATAAAACCGTTGAAAAGCCCTCCCGGACTTGAATTCTTCTTTCCTATTACTCTATCCCTTTTAGACAAAATTCTAAATAATAATAGGATAGGAGTCGAAGCTCTAAGGCAATGTAAAAGCATCTTTAAATTCCAAATTGAAGAAAGCATTGTAACCCAATCCTCTGACACAGGAGAAAGTGGTGAGCACTGATAAACTATAACAACAAATGGGTTATAAGCGTTTTTCCAACTTTCTCCTAATGCTTTCCAGCAGCTGCTTTGAAAGCTCAGAGGTATGGTTCATAGGGGAGCATAAAGCATGGGGGGAAGGAATCAGAACACATCTTAAGTTTTCTTCTAGGGCTCAAATTCTATGATTACGACCTTTAAAAGATGACTTCAAGAAAGCCTAGAAGAACTGGAGTCATCAAGCAAAACGATTTGATGGTAGACCTAAGGGAGACCTTTCAGCAGTCAAGGATTATTAAATGTCGGGATTTGTTACACTAAAGGATGACGTGTAATTTATCTTGTAGACCAGGGGTTCTCCAACTTGCACAGGCATCAGAATCACAGCCACTGTGCCCCAGCCCCAGAGTGCCTTACTCTACAGGGGAGACCCAAGAATTTGCATTTCTAACAGTTTCCTAATGATGCTGCTGCTCATCTGTACACCATACTTTGAGAACCACTGTTCTAGAACCTTGCCACTCGAAGCGTGGCCCACTGACCAGCAGCATCAGTATCACCAGGGACCTTATCAGGCCCCACCCACAGCCTACTGAATTCGAAAATTTATTTTTAAAAGATCCCCAGGTGATTCGTATGCACATTAAAATTTGAGAAGCACCACCCTGGGAGTCTTTGGTAGTTGAACCAAGGTTCCTAACATTAGGAGGAGGAAGTAGAAAATGACCATTACCCGAGTTGATTCCCATGGTTCTGCGCCTCTGCCAATAAGGCTTTGTTAACAAATTTAGTTTAGAAGCATCGTCTCAAAGTTTCCATTCTTTGCCTCAGTTAGAATAATCCACCCTTCTCAGTTATACATTTGCAAATGTTGCTGAGGTCACATGGCTAAGGAGCGTCTAGAACTAACTCAAAAAACTCATTTGGCCAGAGCTGCTAATGGAAATAGAGGTGATCACAAAACCAACAGATTAATCTTTGAACCACAAAAAGGAAATAAGTCTCTGAACCCAGCTAGAGAGTTCCATCTTGCTATGAATAATTAGATTTCTTACATGAATAAACCAAGGAGCAGTGGCCCTCATCTTTGTCTTGAGCTCACTGTGGGTCAGAGTTGATTTCACAACCTCAAGAAGCACTCGAAAAGGAAAAGTGATAGGAACTCATTATTCCTACCCTCAAAGTCACCCCTGAACAAAATCGTTGACCTGGTTCCCAGCACTTTGCCGCACTTAGTCGGCTTTGGGGCACAACTGCAGCCCCACCAGCCCTGCCTGAGACCCGTTTCCAGCCCTTTACAAACCAGCCAAGCATTTGCTGAAGACAGTTTATAATGAAGTCACATGCATACATTGCCAGCACATGGCAGCTGCTATTAAACATTAGCTCCCAACCCAAACCCCTGAAACACACTAATATTTGGACTTTGAGTGGAGTCTTTTGAAGACAGTCTTCAGATGTCTGGTTCATCTGTTAGGTAGAATTCCAAATACAGTACTAGGTTAGGCAGTGAAGTGAGGGCTTTTTCACAGGGTAACTCTGCATCTTACCCCTCAGCTCACGCTGGGGAGGCAACAAGGCCAGGCCTGTAAGCTAAATCTCTTCAGGTCGTGCCAAGTCATCCTGTTCGGCGCATGCCCCAGTAGTATATTACTGGAAGTCTCTCTGAAGGGATCTCTAGAGTTCAGGTCTTTGGCTTGACTACAAAGAGCCCAAGAGCCAACGTTTCCATGACGTACTTGCAGGCGGGTTTGTTTAGAGTGCATCGTGAGAGACCACGTGGGGAGCAGGCTGCTGCAGCAAAGCCAGGGCATTCGCCAGCTAAGAACTGCCAGACTGGGAGAGGGGTCTTCCCCAGGTCATGGCTCTGAGCCAAGCCCCTCCCACTTCCCTAGGGGCCACCTAGAGTGGAGCCCTCTGTGGTTCTAAGACATCTGGCCTCCTTCTCTGAGCAGGTCCTGGACTCCATGAGCCGTATGAGTAAAGCCCTGCTCAGGCCAAACTCCAGGATGGACATACTCGTATCTCAAAGGCAACATTTGCAACAGTGGCAGTTAGTGGTGGCACTGCCAGGGAGAAACAAGAATCTTCTGGGGTCAGGAGCCTGGTTTCTCAGCAGGGTAAAACGCTGAGTTCTCTGCGCACAAGCCCCACTGGATCGGGGGCTGCCTGCATGTGGGCAAGCAAAGAATGGTGTCTGTCACTGAGAACCCACAGCTCCCAGCAGCCTGGCTGTCACAGTGACCGTGGGAATGTGGGAGCAGGAAGGCCATCCGCTGCACCCCTTAGCCAGGGCTGCATACCACATGTCTTCACTGGCCCTGATTTCTGAAGTCCCCTTTTCCCAAAGGGCTGAAGAAAGAGATGTGCAACCAAGTAGTACAGCTGGGGTTTATTAATGGCGACCCAGGATCCACTTGGAAAGACGCCAGCCTTCGCCTTTGCTATTGGCTGACCCAGTAGGGCCATCTGGAGCACAGAACCTGGCATCAAACCTCTATGGAAAGTTTGCCTAAAACCTCAAAATAAATGTTTTCCTCAATGAGCAACTCAACCTTTCTTGCTCACACGCATCGTAATGTGGTTTTGTAAGTGTGCAAATTGGGGGGAGGGGGTTAGGAAGAAGTTTGTCAACATGACAAGTTATAAAAGTAGCCTTAGGATACGATCTGCTCCCAAAATTATGAAAATTTGAGCTGTAGGGACATTGATTCAGAGGGTCATTCGGAGTATTGGAACATTTGGGTTTCATTACTGCTCTAGAAAAGTTCATTTCAGATTCAGCCCTTGTACCCAAGGAGGGTATGGACACTGCAGCTGTTGATATGGGAGGATGGACTCTTGACCACTAAAGAACTTACATTGTTCTAAGTGGCCTACAAATACTAACACATTTCATTCTCATAACAACCCTATGAGGCCAGCACTATCAACCTCAGTTTACAAATAAGGAAACTGAGGCAGAGAACACTCACCCCCAAGATCACATGGTAATCACCAGCAGGGCTGGGATTTGAACCCAGAGAACATGCCTCCCAGTCCATGCTCTTAAGCGCTATGCTACACTCCCACCCCACACAGCTTGTCCAAATTTTCCAATCCAAGCCTGACAAATACGAGTGTATTTATGGGAGAATATAAAAGTGAAAAATCTGAAAATCTGGTATAAATGTCAGGAAACCCAAGAAGACTTGGAAGCAGAATTCTATTCCAATTGAACGTGGGTATGGGGGTTGGAGGGGTGGAGGGAGTGCCCAGTGCAGCTCCCCTGGACACTCAAAGTGTGGTCCCTGGGCCAGCAGTGTCTGCGTGACCTGGGGACTTGTTAGAAATGCAAATTCTTAGGCTTCATTCTAGACCTGCTGCTGATTAAGAATCTGCAGGTTAACAAGATCCCAGGGGATTTCAATGTACATAAAGTCTGAGAAGGGTAGTCTAATGGTTTCATTTACTCACCACCTGTACCATCTAATGTTAAGGATGTCCCTGCCTTTTTCTAATAGTCACCCATCGACATCCCAGAACACCCGATCTGCCTTCAAACTGAACACTCTCCTCCTGCCTTTGTAGTGAGGTTGGGTGGGAAGTTCTCAAAAGCCTACTCTAATCCCACCCCCATCCTCAGCCTCTTTCTCCACTTTAACCCTCCACAGCCCGATTCCAGTCCCTCTGTTAGGTTAAAAACATTGTCTCTTCAAGAAGCACTCAAGCACTGGTCTCCCATTCTCAATTTCGAAAACCAGCTAGCCTATTTATCCACTCCTTACAGCCCCTTTACACCAGCTCAACAAGTGATCCTCCAACCTAAGTTCCAAACATGCTCCATCACACACACACACACACACACACACACACCACTTAAGTTATCAGCTGGTACAAATTCAAATCCCTGAACCTCCCACTTCTCAGCCCTCATCCCAAGGGAAGGAGGGAACTTCCTTTTATTAATCCTAAACCCCCTGCCATGTTTCATTGCAGCAGCCAGTGGCAAAGGTGGGCTGAAATGAGCCCGCCAGCCCAGGTGTGAGCCTCCTTTAAAAGGTATGTGTGCTCTGTAGTCCCCATTTAATCACTTAACCTGCCTAGAACTTTGGTTTCTTAAACTATAAAATCGTTTGAGGGGGTGCAGCCCCTCCCTCAGAGCCTCAGCTGGGCGGGGTGCCTGGGCGGGGCCTGAGAGTGGGCGTGCCTAACAAGCTCCCCCGGGATGCCGGTGCCGCGGGGTGGGGAACATACTTTGAGAGCCACTGCACTAACCGATCTGTCAGAACTCGTCCAGTCTTAAAAATTATATTTTGCCAATTCTGCCAAATAAATATTCTACATTGTTATCACAAAGCTAACAAAGAACAAGCGAAATCTCACCTAGTGCTCGTCCACTTAAATCGAATTGTTTCTCATATTTTCATTTCTTTCCCCCAACTGGATTGCCAGTTCTTAGTCACCTTACTTACATAGTTCATATACCATCCTTAACAATGCTAAACGTTCAGGAGGCAATTAATGCATTTTTTAAATGGAATTACACAGTAAGCCTAAGGTTTCTACGAAAAAGAGATCCAGAATACAGAGTAGGATAAAGCCCAGCGAAGGACACTGTCAAGTCACTCAGCTGAGCAACCTTGGCTACCCTGCCAGGAGGGTAAATAATCACAAAACCGCACTCCTCTCTTCCCTCCTGCGGTCAGCCCAGCAACCCGTTGTCTTCCTAAATTTTCCATAATGTAAGCAGAACTGTTGTGATAGCTTCTGGGTAAAGAATCAAATAAACATGATCCTTTCAGACTACTTGTTATTTGCTCCTTATCTAGTTGAAACATTTCTCTCCTTTGTGTTTTTTGTTTCTTGGCTTTAAGGTTTTAAATTTACAGTGTCTGCTGCCATCTGGTGGTAATTTCTAATAGCTGCAAGCCATGAAATAGGTTACACCCGTCTACCCTCCCACGGAGCAGTGGCCCTCATCTTTGTCTTGAGCTCACTGTGGGTCAGAGTTGATTTCACAACCTCAAGAAGCACTCGAAAAGGAAAAGTGATAGGAACNACCCCCACCCCATGTTCTAATATTTCTTTTCTTAGCTCCCTGGATAAAGCACTAATCTAGATTAAGATTCCTTGATAACTGAATTTTCAAGAAAGTGCTTGATCTGTCACTTAAAATTCTGACCTGAAGCAAATAGTGTGGTCACAGTTATGAGCTAGAGCTGGATTGAGGCTAAATACTACATCCTGGTATTTAATAGCCCTGTGACATTTGCCCATTGGTGAACTGCTCTTACGCTTAACTTCACTCTTCTACGAACTGTGGACATAGATGGTACCATCTTTGTGAGGGTTCAACAGGATAATGCATGGAAGCATTTGAAACAATGCCTGGCCCTTAGCAATAGCCCTTGATATATGTCCTTGGTTGATGGTGAAAATGATGATAGTGAAGATGATGACCATGTAAACCAGTTGTTCTCCACTCCAGACCAATGAAGTCAGAATGCCCAGATGCCCAAGTCCCCTCTCCAGAGATTCTGATTTAATTGGTCCCAAAGTAGGAGGGTGGGTAGTGGCAGGTAGTTGACTAATGAGGCATCAAAATAGTCTTAAAACTCCCCTAGGTGATCCTATTGAAACTACTGCAGTAAATGACCCACAGAAAAGCCATGTGCTCATTTGCAGTTCACTGCAGATCCGGTGTCATCCAATCAGTCAGCAGCATTTTGGAATATTTGCTGTGGACAGAGTACAAGTGCAGCATGAGAAAAAAAAAATCAACACAGTCCCAGCTCCATATATGACAGTTCAGATAGGAGGGTGAAGTGGCAGAGGGAGGTGGTGTCATAGACAGTCAGACATTATGGCCTGGAAAGGAGAGTTAGTGTGTGGGCCTCACAGCTACTCAGAGAGAGAAAAGAGAGAGGCAGAGGGACCATGAAAGAGAAGGTTTGGTCTCCAGGGCTAGTTACATGAAGAGGAGGGGGTGGTAGCAAGAGATGAACTGTCCCCTTCTCCACCTCATCCCTGCCACCACTACCACACAGACACAGACAGACATGGACACAACTCGGCTGAGACGCAGCCAGGAGGCCTGGCTCAGCTACCCAGTACGACCAATGTTGATTCAGCAGTAATGCACCCAACTCCCACTCATTTGCTTTAATAGAAATGTAGTACAATAGCTGATTTTTTAAGTTTATTTTTTAGGGTTTTAGGGTATTTCAGCATCCTTGTCTTCTTGCATTGCATTTTCTTTAGGTGGCTAAAAAGTTTTGCTTGGGTTTTAATAGCACTAGCAGTAGGAATAGTAGCAGGCATGCGTCCCGAGCCCCTGTGTGCTGCGTACTCAGAGTAGCTGAGTGATAGATGAACGCATGCCCACCAACCAGAGATGACCACACCTAACATGCTAAGGGACTTCCTTTCAGCCACATGTGTACATGTATGTGTACACCCCCGTTTTAAAAAGACATTAACAGAGTCAATATAAAGATGGTGAGGTTGATATTTGTAAATACCCATGACATATTCAGTTTAAAAAAACAACTAGCACAATAATATGAACTATATAATCAATTTATCTTTTTTAAACTAAACATGTATGTATTATATGTGTAAATAAATTTAAAATATCTGGAAGGATGATGTTAAGTAATGGAATACTATTAGAGTATTCCTATATTTCTAATAGTATTAGAAATACTATTAGAGATCACATAAGGGATGAAAACAAAGTTTCGCTTCTACTCTATGTACTTCTGGAATGTTTGAATTTTTGCAATGAGCATATGTGAGTTCTATAATTTTTTTAAATGTTTAGTACAGTAGTCAGGACCCTAATAAATGAATTCATATGCTGCCAATGTCTATGTACAAATGTATGTGATAAGCATGAACATATAGGTCTGGTTGCACCTATGTATGTATAGTGTGTATATGTGTGTAGTATGTATAGTAGGTGTGGTATGTATGAACACATGTCATATTGTGCTATGTGAGGGCATGTAGGTATACATAGAACATACACATAGATAGTAAAAGTATACACTCATACACATAAAATTACTTTTGGCTTATGTGTTACTAAATTTTATGAAAAATATATAAAATCTTCTGTTGAAATAGCAGATTTTACCTTGGAACCTCCTAAAACACTTTATGTACAATAAAAGGTACTTGCTGTCATTTTTCCCAAAGTTGAGATGATGCACTGTTTTACTTTGTCTTTATTATCTCCCACTAAAACAGCGTATACATAAACATTTTAACGTAACGTAACCAGAAACTCTTCAATCAGAGCCTATTCTGGTCCAAAAAGTCTTCGGGGAGAAAATGATTAAGCTGGCATTTTATTTATCAGGCCACTCTATGACCTTCAGGTAGACGTAGACACGAATCCCAAATACTGAGCCCTAAACCCTCACACAATATATTTTTTCCACTACTGTGGTGTCTGATTTGGCAACAGCTCTTTGCTTTGCATTTTAGTTAGCTTATTCTAAATTAAATCTGAATGCATTTTTTAAAATTGTATAAGGAGAGAATTTCTGGCCCACCAATTTAAATCCATATTCAGGACAACACGGAGAATTGCAATAATCCTTGTTGAATTATGTACATTAAATGGGCGAACTTTATGGTATGTAAATTCTCTTACTAAAGCTGTTAAAAATGTTGTGTTTAAAGTTCATCTTGAAAAGGAGCAATTTATAACCTCCATAAACAACTAAAAGGTGTTTTCCTGACTGATAGCTCCTTTATTTCTAGTAACAGAGGGAAGTGCCAGATTGCAGGGGATGGAACAGGGTCACAGGGTTCTGCAGCAGGACCTTGCCCCATCACTCCCTGGAACCACATAACCTACCCCACTCAGGCTGTCCAAACTTTGCTCTTCCTGCAGGAGGACTACAACCAGCTGAGGCCTCTCTCCTACCCCAACACTGATGTGTTTTTGATCTGCTTCTCTGTTGTAAATCCTGCCTCTTACCACAATGTCCAGGAGGAGTGGGTCCCAGAGCTGAAGGACTGCATGCCTCATGTGCCTTACATCCTCATAGGGACCCAGGTGAGCAGGCGGGCGGTGGCACAGGGGTGGCAAAAGAGTAAAGACCTTTTAGGTATCTCTTGAACCTCCTATTCTAGCAGGCACTGCAGAGGAATATCTCAGATATATCAATCCTATGAACAGCTGTGCTTAAGATATGCATGATTATTTAGCCACAGCTGAAATTTGATGTGAAGCAGGAAGTTTTGATGTGGCCTTTAAAAATGACTCTCTCAGCTTTTTATTTTTAAATAATAACAAAGTAATTTTTTAAATCGACGCCCTTCTCCAGCCCTAAGCCAGAGGAATGAGGTGGGGACATCAATTACACCTATGACCCAATATTTATTTTACGTCTAAATTCCATGATTGTTTGAAAGTCACCGAATAGGTATGAATGAAAATGACCCCAGAAATCAGAATGGTCCCATTATGACAGGAACTCCTTAGTAATACTCCTGGAAAAGGAAGACAGAAATTTTCTCTATTCCCTTTAAGCCCCTTGGCCTTCCAGATCTTAGAAAAAAAGCAAAGAGACATAACAGATAAACCTGTGATTGTAAAAGCCATTCAAGTGTTTTGAAAGTTAATAAAGTTTCATAGTTTGAATTTCCAACAGTAATTGCACAAAGGTGTTAAACATTGTTCCATCTTTTTATGGTTTTAAATAGGTTTTGTTCTTTGCTACGTTAAACCCAATTATTATCCCAGAGATACAGAAATAAATAATACTGAAGGGTTTTATTGTTGTGTTTTATACGCTGTTGCTTTCTATTTCTCATTGTACATTCTGCTTAACAAAGAGAAATTCAAAATAAAACATAAAAGAAAGAAAAATATTTCCTAAAGAAGATATGAACATATAACTAACACATCCACAAATCAGAATACAGTTAATGATTCTGCTCTGAAAGTTGATTGTTTGTTTAAATGAAGCTTTTTTCCTTAATTCCAGATGATAACGTTTGACTATATTGATGGAGCCCTGATCCCTGGCTGCCAAAATATGTGACGGGATATGCAACCATCCCTGTGTGATTCGAGCCTAATGTATAACAGATGAGCACTAAGTTGAACAATTAAGGCCCAAAACAAAAACTACACAAATTAGTAAAGCTGCACAATGTGCTTATAAATGGAACCCTAATATATAAGTATATTTTTTTTCTTTAAAACACAAGCCTGTATGTGACCACATTCACACCCATTCATGTATGCATGGGTTTGCATACACAATGAGATTTAAAAGCAACTAAATTACTTAAATTACAGATCCTAATTCAAACATACATGCGATTTTCAAAGTAGTTCTACCTTTGAAAATATGAATGCTTATTCCTTGTGCAAACCCTTTGGAAATTCCCCTTTAGGACTTGCCTTCAGAGCCTGCGGCACGTTCAGTAAAATATTCTCATAGGCAGCAAATCTTCAGCCCTGCAGATTTGGTTTCGAAAAGCCAAAATTATCTATTTCTATAGGAAATAAACTATTAAAAATTAGTCACGTAATTTAGAATCAAATGAGCATTGCTGTAAGGTAGTAAGACATTATCTCGTATGTCCAACAAGAGGACTTTAGAAACAAATAGAAAATTTCAGAACACATCGGAGACAGCCACAGAATCATTGGAGTAGTCCTCAGCTCCCAGGGTAACTGCTCTGCAGGGGAAAGCCTGATGTACACATTTCCAAAGAAATCACTTTCATTTCTAGACATATTATGGGCACGTGTCTGAGCTTCCTCAGAGAAACTTTGGCAACTTCATCGATGTCTAGGGGGGAAAAAATCTCTATTATGTCAGTTTAAAATACCTGGTAATGCCTGAAAACACTAAATGCGTTAATCACATGTGTGTTTTTTGCCAGATTGACCTCCGTGATGACCCCAAAACCTTGGCCCGTTTGCTGTACATGAAAGAGAAGCCTCTCACGTACGAGCATGGTGTGAAGCTTGCCAAAGCGGTACAGTCAGATTTGAATTTAATTGTAAATGTATGCTGAGAGAAGAGTGTGGGTGTATGCTTTGGAATGGGTGAGCTATGTCTGCTTTCGCTTCAAAGTGCAATGTGTTCGGACTCTTCCCTCTGCAGTACAGCCTCCACCCCTGTTCTAGTCAGGCCGGAAGGGACCATTTGGTTAGCGTTCTTGTCAGCCAGCATTATCTGTTTTTCATTAAGAAAGAAACTTGGTGAATTTAAACAGCTGGGGCACTTAGCATTTGATTTAGCAACCCCTAAGATATCAACTTGCCATATTTAGTATGAATAAAGAGAGTCATTAGATATGTATTTGTAACTCTCGCTGCTTATTATCGGTATAACTCATTTAAATGACCCCCTGAAAAGCATTTTGTGGTTTTCTTGGGAGAAACTTAGGTTAGCGCCTGACGGTTATATTAGCTCAGTATTTCTCACCGTATAATGCATAGCCGCTTAGAGAGGCTGGTTTATGTCACAAACAGCTCTAGAAGAGTAAGGTAGTCCAAAAAGTAACTAGTTGGAGAATCCAAGTTACGGATAATAGCAACCTGCTCACAGCTGGAATTGTTTTCACAGGCTTTTCTTCATTCTTGAGAGCTTAACCATGAATAGTGATTTTTTTCTAGGGGAGGGGAGGTGAGAGAAATACTTTAGAAAGTATTTGCCAGACACCAAATCTTTGTCTCCCGATTAACACCAGCATGTGTACAAAAGCAGCTACTAAAATGGACACAAGAGGATGAAGTGCTTTATGCAAGACAGGGTTTATAAATCATATATTCATAACCTGAGTCCACCCCCTCTGATTCAGTCACAAATCTATGGACACAGGCCAGAGGTTTCAGAAATTTCTTTTAACTTTCTAAAGGAACTAATCCTGCAAAATGCATGCCCTGAGCAGAGTTAGCAGTCAAAATTGATCAAGAATAACATTAACTACAAATTCCTCATTAACAAAAACATATGCATTCCTCTTATTAAAACTTCCTTATAGGTACCCAAACTATGATACATTTCAATAGAAATGAATTCAATAAAATCATGTTTCTATGGATGCGGTAGAGGAGACCATCTCACCAATACTCTGAGCGCTTCCTACTTCTATGACTAGCAATGTCAGAACCACCAGTAGGGGCCATTCACGGAGTTCTTAGGATGCTCTGCACTTTACAAGCTCTGTCTCATTTCAGCTTCACGATGACCCTCCTAAGCAGATAGTTTGTCTCATCTTACAGAGCAAGAAGCAGAGTCTTAGGGAGATAAACATATCTGAGTCACACAGTGGATAATAACACAAACAATTCTAATCCAGCTCTGTGCACATCACCCCACGTATCTGACCATTGTGGAAACTGTCTCCTCCAATCCTTTATTTTTCCTCCTGTAATATGGGTATGTGTCTATAGTCTCTTCTAGCTTTTCCTCAAACATCCAGCTTAAATGATCTTACTAAGGTGCATAAATATGTACCTTCATAAGTGATTGTATGTGATTCCCAGCTACCCATTTTTCACAACCAGGAGGTCCCAAAGGCTCAGCAGCTGCTTTTCACAGGAGCGTGGTTTTCTGTGTCACTTGCTTCTGGCCTGTCTCCCACCATCCTCCTGTCAGCATCATAGCCCGCCTTCTCATTTACGAAGGTTTCCCCCCCCCCTCTGAAAAGAAGTCGTTCTGAAGCCTCCCATCTCATTTCATACTTATTTTAGGAACAATGGCTGAGTTCACCACTTTATTGCTTTTTTGCCAGTTTCTCCTAGCAACTGCTCTCAGATATGGAAAGAATCATGTTTAGCTTACAAAATCCAATTTAGAAGAAAACCAAGCAAGAGTTTAACTTGTTTTATCACAATTCGTGTAATTATAGAGACGCTTTATGTTTCTCTGCTCCCTGACTTTCCTGTCAAGTACTTTATAATAACAGCTGGCATTTATGGAGTGTTTGCAGTGTGCTAGGCTTGGAGCCAAGCGCTTTACATGCTTTGTCTTAATTAATCCTCACAGCAACCCCCTGAGGTGTGTCTATTATTATCTCCACTTTCCTAGAGGAAACTGAGGTTCAGAGAGGTTAAAACCACACTGCTAGAAAGTGGCAGAGCTGAGATATGAGAGTGGGCTTTACCCACCAAACTCCTCTGGCCCCTCCCATAATCTGAAAAGAAACCCTTGGGTTTGGTGCTTCTGTTTTGACATGCTAAAGCCCCATATTTTCATGTGCATGGTCTCCCGATAACTTAAACATTCCGTAAATTCAGATTTTTCATCTCCAATTCCTTTTGTCCAGTACTTTTAAATTTCCAAAACATTTTTCATCTATCATCTATTTTTGGTCTGAAAGGGGTTTTATTTTATTTTATTTTATTTTTTTAAGATTTTTATTGAGGAATTGGGGGATGCGAACAGCGCTGGGGAATTGGGGGAAGGGGAACAGACAAGTTGCTGTCGTTTTGTTCTTCAGTCTAGTTGTGGAGGATGTTGCTTCACTGGCCCAAGTTGGCACCATCATTGCGCTCTTCCCGGGTGAGGCAGATCAGTCGCCAGCTTCTGGACAGTCGCTCACAGCATCTGCTAGCCGCTCATGCTGGCTGCTGGCTCACGGTAGCTCACGGCAGCCCACTGCAGCAGGGGCTGCAGCCTATGCCGTCACCAGCGACTCATGGCAGCCCAGCTCCAGGTTGAGCTGTTGTTCAGCATCTTAGCTGTGGAGGGCAGTGTCACTGGCCCTCATATGTGGGATCCGAACTGGGGCCCTCTGGCGTCCCAAGCCAGCTCTTAACCAACATGCCACTCAGCTGGCCCAGGGGTTTTATTTTTAAAGGACATCTTTATATCAGACCTGTTTATAATTCTTTACACTCCAAAGTAAAACCTATTTACATAAATATTTTGTATCAATTTATAATATTCATTGTCATCCCTTTACTTGTTGGATCCTCCCTCTTCTTTTCATCACTGTGGTTTTTTAATCTTTGGTCTACCTTTCCCACTCTTTGCTCATTTGTGTATGTCCATATTGCTAGATTTATTCAACAATAATTAACTGAACACCCAATATCGGCCAGGAGTCATGATACCCTTTAGCTCTAAGATTATAATTCTTCATGCACTCTTTCTCAATTCCATTTGATACAACCTAAACTTGATTTCCTAAGTTCAGACTTCCTATGGTATTTCTTGATAAAACACTTTACCATCTTCCCTTTTTCAGTCTTTGGCCTCTTTTGCCCTCTTCTGCCAACTTCTTCCTCCTGTTTTATGTATTGTTGTTCTCACTCCTGTCCTCAGCACCTGTTTCCTGCCGGGCTTAGAAGAGGCCCCAGTGGGGTTTAACGTAGCAAACTTGCTGCAAAAATTCTGTTATCAATGTTTAGCCATGCTAATCAATTTTAGTCTTTAACACCTTCCTCCTGACCACAAAAGGCACTGTCACCCTCCTTGTTTTGTGCACTAACCATTTCTTCTTTCTCTCATGGTCATGAAAACCCTTCACTCCAGCACTGGGGTCTGTATTACAGAGAGGAGGGAGAGACAGCCCCTGCTCTCAGGACACCCATTGGCGAGAAGATAAATACAACAACATGTGTGTGCAAAATACTAAGGTAGCAGAGACAAGGGAGTAACAGAGTGACAGACACATGCAAGGGAGAAGGAGTCAGAAAAAATTCCTTGGAGCAATTGACATCTGAGGCAGGTTTGCAGGATAAGGATATTTGTTGGGTAGACAAAAATTTCAAGTAGGGAGACCAGTACATTCAAAGTTATTTTTAATGCGATTTCATGGCTAACACTGAACAATTTGGAAACTACATAAAAATACACATTCCTGGCTTCTAAAAAGAAAAATCAGAAGGTCTGGTGACACGAGCCAGCATTTCTGCATCAACTGCAACTTTTAAACTGTCTTCTAGACAAGCTATGTACCCTTCAGTTTGCCACAATGCCCCCAACTCTATGTTAACCTACACTCAAGCAGTGCACTCGCATTATCCAGCCCTGGGTTGGCAATCTCTGCCGTACAGTCTTGAAAAATTCAACAGCAAATACATCTAGCTTAGAAACGCTTTTCCTCTTTCAGCAATTTGAGCATAATGCTTATTTGTGGAGATGGGATTTCTCTCACAAGCCATTCGTTCTTTTTCCTTTGTGTGGCTCTCAAGTTGCCCTCGCTTTCCTAGTTCTTACATAATAAAGAATTCCCCTGCTATTAGCCACTTCTCTAGAGACCGGCTTATTCTGTTTATTCCACCAACCTCTTCTCTCCATTTATAGGACAGGCCTTCCTCTTCCTTCCCTTCTTCTCCCATCATTCTCACTAAGTCCGTAACAACTTTGTTCATTACTTTTGCTCTTCCAGCTACATTTCTTCACATTTGCTAGACAGCCCAACAGAATGGTTAAGACTCTGGCTCCGGAGACAAATTCAAATCTCTGCCATTTTCTTGGTTGTGTGTCCTTAGGGAGGTTACTTAACCTCTCTGGGCATCAGTTTTCTGAGCTGCAAATGACAATGGTGATAGACTTAACTCATAAAGTTCTTGTGACATTTTAATAAGCTAATGTCCCACGAGGTCCAGGTCAGGAAACTATTGTTGTTAAATCTGTGTGCCCTCTCAGACATGTCCACAGCTGGGAAGACCTCTTTGCCTCTATTCCTTCTGGTCACTCACTTATCTTTTTCTTTTTTTTTTTTTATTGTTAGTTTCAGGTGTACAGAACAATGCAATAGTTATCCTTTTCACCCTCACTTAATTTCTATATGTCCCACCTCTACGAGGACGACCCGGAAGAAGTACTAGGTTTTCTTCCACTTGATTAGTCATTGTAGGATTGTTTGTTTGTTTGTTAATTTCTTCTTGTCAGACTCCTGTATGTTCTCTACACCTCTGATAAATTTCTCAACTTTGGGACAATAAATTTTAGCTATTATAAAGTTATTAGAAAAGTGTTTTCAGTTTACACTCCTCAATCTCTGTTTTTCTTTCTAGAAAATAAATCATTTTGGTAAAGCATGTTCCAGTTTACTAACATGTGCATCTAAACAAGGATCTATAAATCCTGAGCCCTTACAGGTTGGTTCTAAGTGTTTGGCTGGTGTAGGTCGCTTTGCTCCAAGACGCAGAGGAAGTTGCTGCTGTAAGAAAAGCTGTATTTCCTTGAGGCAGTTTTCCATTTCACATCTTTGAGGGTGCAAATGGGTTGGTTTGTTTGTTTGTTTGCATTTTTAGCAATCCTCATAGCATGGCTGTGACTTTTCCCAGCACCAGGATGAATTATTCTCTCTGACCCTCACAGCCCTTGATACATGGTTATAATACATACCTCAGAACTGTGTTCTGTTTCTCACACATATTTCCCAAATCACACCCAAAATCTGTTTGCTACTTTTCCTGGAACTACGAGTACAAAAGAATGTTGTATTAACCTAGTTAGACAATAATTCCTTGATCTACTATTGCATTATATTCAGAAACTTCTGAATGGGGAAAGACAAGTTTGGGCTCCTCCTGCACCGGGAAAGGCAAACTCTGACATGCTGTCAGCAGCACTCTGGGGGGAGGACAAGGAGGGTGTGCACTGGCCCATCTTGCAAGACCCGATGGCCCAGAACCCTATGTGTGAGCCAAGCTCAGCTCAGCTCTCCTGTAGTTTCCAGAATTAACTGGGGCTTGTGATTGTTAGTGGAGAGGTATTCCAAATAGAATGAACCCACAGCGCTTTGCAGGTAATTTCTTCAGGATGACTGACAAGAGCTAGCACATTACAAGTGGTCATTCAATTGACGCATTCATGAGAGGGCTGTGTTTTGCACATGCGTTCATATCAAGCATTGGACACAATTCCAAAATGTAACAGATGACATTTCATGACATTATTAGGAAAATTTTCTCTACCTTTTTACCCCTCTCTTGTATCCAGGTTTTTAAAATTATAGATAGATAGATAGATAGATAGATAGATAGATAGATAGATAGATAGATAGATAAATTTTTATATATTATATAATATATACATATATATAAATTTATATAAAATATAAATATATATATAAAATATTTGGATTATGTTCTAATCCAAAGGCCAAG